TCCTCTGTAGCTATTATTATATTGGACTATTACAACAAAAGTAAATACTTTGGAGAGTCCCTGCTGAGAGTAGAAGCAAAATCAGAGAGATAAAACCCACAATAAACTTTACTCAACAGATGGCCCATGAGTAAAACCCAGTAAAAGGTCTGGTCTCCAGCAAATTGCTGCAAAGCTAGTGCATCTGTAGCTACCTAAATGACAGCAGCGGAAAAACAACAAAAAAAGACTTGTTTGCTGTGTGCTTTCCTGTGCTTATTTTGAATTCTGCAGAACATATTTTTAGAGATTGCAATGATCTGATTCCAGGTATCAAGCTGAAATCAGAAGAAAATACTAGACTGGATATCAAAGGGAAAAAAGTGATGAAAAAAGAATGGATCTAATCCAATTCTGTAGAAAATCTAGCTTGAAACAGCCCACTCACATAGTCATGTCCTGTTGGTAGCTGTGTATTTCTTCCTGTGTGAAAGAGGTTTGAGCATGATGGGTTACTTTTAGATGCTCATCTTCAGTGAAAAAGTGCTTCAGTTAACATTAGCTGCTTTTAAAGCTTCTTTTGTAAAGAAAAAAAAAAAAAACATGGGCATCAGTACTGATACTGAAACATTCAGTATTGGTGTTGAAAGAGAAAAAGCAGTATTGTGCCATCTCTAGGTATGTTCAGACTACACTTGTGTGCAAAATTCAGAGACCACTCTTTCACTTATTTAGTTTCCAATTAAAACGGCATTACAGTAAAATTTATTCATTCAAAATTACATACAATGCAACTATATATATTTCAGGAGACTTGCTTTCAGTCCCAAGTTCAGTCTTACAAGATGGTTACATTTTCTCCTTCTTACAATCCAAGTAGTTCTAAACATATCGGGTGATGTTGAGGTCTGGACTCTGAGGTGGCCAGGTTATTGTTCTGAGAGCAACAGCATTGTACGTTTTCTTTGTCTAATAGACTCTTCTCAGTAAAGGTTTCTTGACAGCTGCAGATTCCTTTGGATTCATAGCGCTGAGCTGACTTCTCACATAGGAAGGATGGACAAAAACATCTGTGGATTTTCTCCGTTCTGAAGCAAGAGTAGGGCTTGATTTTCCCTCAAAGATGAAAGCCATTAAGTACTGTTTATCTGATAAGGACAGTTTTGGTGGTCTACCAGGACCTGTACGGCTGTTTGAAGACCCATTTGAACTCTGGGGGCCGTATTACAGACACCTCAGTGTCAGGCAGCATAGTTTACTGTAACTAGCATAATGTTTTAAAAATTCCAGACACTGCAGACATGACCTCTGCCTTTCCCTCTTATTACCTTCATGTGTTAATGTTGATGAAAACTCGTCAGATCAAATATTACAGTGATGGTGGTGAACAATGAGAAGACAGAGCTGAAGTTATGGCTGTTTAGTAGGCAGAATAACATTAGCATGTTCGGTTAAAGCATTTGGGAAACTGAAACTGGAAAGCGTGACGCTCTGATAAACAGCACTAAGCACTGTCACAGTATTCTTAACTTTAAGTTTATGGCACATTTCTCACACTCTGCTTTACTCGCAAAGTTTTATCCCTAGTTTTAAGTAATGAAACAGAAAGTCAAATGTCAAATCCATCTTCATTTTGGTCCGCTGAACCTTTATCCACCCTCGTCCCTCAAAGTCATGGACGAGCACGACGTATCGGCGATCAATAGCTGGACAAAGCACAGACTGTTTACTTCTCAATTTTTCCTTGTCTGCACCTTTAACAGGCAGGCGGTTGGACTAAGGTTCACTGATTGCCTATGTCATTGGCATCGAAGGCCTTTCAGAGTGAGGCAGCACACTCACAGTAAACACATGGCCTTAAAACGGATCGATATTTCATCAAGTGAATAGCAACTTAATCAGTTCATGGTGATAGTTATCTAGTGCAGTTTGTTCTACACTGCTTTCTTTCCTTCATCATCAAATAAAGAAATACATCTATCAATGCCTTAACGGAGATGTTTATTGTGTTCTCTTATTTTCTATTGTACTGTTTGTATTTGCGTTTTTTCCCCCACTGCTTTGCTCTTCGTCCTGTCTTATCTCTACTGACAACCTTCGTCTTCCCTCCATCCTGGACATCACAAGGCTTGGGAAGGGAATTTATGGAAACATTTATGACTGAAGCAAGAAATAGCAGCGAAGATAAATTATTAATGCTGGTGTTATATTGTTTCCGTGCCTTGAGATACACGACGACAGCGCATCAACTGTAACATTTCTCATTCGCGTGTCAGCTGCAAGATAAGATCCCGCTGTTGTCGTATAGTGCTGCAGATTGTAGAGTCTGTCGTCACTGCTGTATCTTGTCACTTGAGATTTGCACTCACAAAATGTGCCTTGATGTTGAGAAATGAACATGGGAACTGTACCAAATGTATTAGCTATCTACCTAACTGACTGTTTGTGATTGTTCTGTAAGGACTGTGATACTTGCTCTGAATTAATTTGCATTTTTGGGGTATTCATGTATTTCACACTCAATCATACTTGTCTAGATTTAAAGGAGACGGCAGTTGATGAAATTAGGCAAGGCATGTTTATGCAAAACTGCAAAGACGAGAACGCAGAAACTAATGAAACACTGCATTCTTTATCTCTGTGATTGTGCAGGTGTTTTAGATAACTGAGTGAGACTTGTACAGGGTATCTGCAGGCATCCTCAAGCTAAATTTAATACTTTTAAAGGCTAAGCAACCGCTAATATGAAAGTGTCAAACATCAACAGAGCGAAGGATGTTATTAATAGTAACAAAAAACAGTTTACAAAAATAAGCTCAAGAAATAAAGCTTAAAAGATGGTCGTTTCGCTCTGTCCACTGGTTCATGCAGAAGGAATTTGTCAAGTGGACCACTCTATCAAATAAGTTGAAACTGCAGGCATCCCTGTCCCTCATGGTGAGCACTTAGATCCCCGTGTTTTGAAGCAAATGTGTCCCAAATGAGTCTTAAAATCAGTGTGTAACATTAAGAATCATCACTATTAAAACACATTTTCTGCAATTAAGTTATTTTTCATTGAAACACAAACATTTATGATTTTGTATGTGTACAACTGTTCAAGGTTGTGTTTGCTAGTCATGTACTGGCTAGCATTTTTGAGTCACGCTTAAAATAAGCTAAAACAGTCACTACCAAACATTTAGTTAAGTTTTGGTAAATGTTATGGTTGTTACTGATAAAAATGGAACACTCAATCATTTATTTTAGTAAAATAAATGATTATTTTTACCTAAAATGGGAACTTATCTGTCTATTGCACTGAGATGAAAGTTAGTGCTGCAAATTGTTTAATTAACAACAGTTGATCCAGGTTTGAATGTAAATTAGTCATGGCAATACATGTTTAAATGTTTTAATATTAGAACATTTAATCTCAGTTCATTGACAAGATTCAGGTCTGCTGACAGTTTTCCTCTGAAATTTTCTTAAAAATGTAAATAAATTCCCACTGCAAACTTCTTAACCAATCACATCAAACGTTTTTCAGCTTAACTCGCACTGACTTCAACATGTCCTCAGTAGCAAAAATGATATAAAATCTTGAAGGAGGTCCACTAGCTGTAGCTGTTTAGCTGTAGCTGTTTAGCTGTTTTGGCTTTAAAGACTTTATGTAATTTATTTTACTTGTTTTCATGTATTTTGTGACCAAATTTTTGCATCACCAAAAGTCAGGGAAAAACACAGGCTAACAACTCACTGAGACGCTATTAAGTTTTAACAGCGATGTAACCTGCAACAGGTTTGCTCATATTTGCACCAAGTTGCTACCACAAGAGTGTCTTAACCCCTTAAAATCCTGGGCTTATTACATACTAAGGCTTGTTATTCAGTAACTACAGGGACTTCAATGCAAACTAGATCAGCTATTCTTAGGTTATAGTATAATAAAACTTTAGGCTTGCTGGCAGGCACTGGCAAGTGTTGTGGCTCTAGCTGTCATTAAAAGATACTTCTCTGTTCTTAACATTACCTCGACAAACTAACATGCTGGCACATCACCCACTGAGGAGGGGGAAAACTTGTGTAGAAGCCCACAAGTCAGCACGTACCGCTCAGTTGGTTAGTTCTTGTGCCAGATGCCATTCCTGGCAGGCCAAAGCATTGCAAAATTTAGTGTTCCTCTTCATTTAACACTCCTGATTCAACACATCAGCTAATTATCAAAGCCTTTGTTAGTTAAATTCAGATGGAAACCACTAGTCTCTGCAGAGCTGTGGCCCGGAAGGAACACAGTTTGATATCCCTGCTCTTAGCACTAGTTTGTTACCTCATCTGAAGAGGCTACTCAACCCTTTACTCAATCCGTTACTTAAGCCTTATCCTACACAAAAACCTACCAAATTAACCAGCGAAAACCAACAGATTTTCCTTGGCTATTTTTGACTAATTCTACACATTCACAAGTACACCTATATTTAAATATCTGGTAATTTACAGATACCCAAATATCAACATTTTTATTAGTAATGCACCAATCTGATACTGTATCGATACAGGCACAGACACTGACCTGACTAAATGGACTGTGTACTGTCACAGTTGCTGTAAAATTATAACATTCCATTATCCAGTACTACCCTACTTTGGTATATCTTTTATTTCTTATTTAATGCAATTATTTTTTTTCTATTATATAGCTAGTAATGACAGCCTTGTGTTACTTACAAGAATTATCACAAGCAACCTCACACAGTAAGGTGCACACTGAAGAGTAGAAAACAGCACTGGTCAGTCTGATCATGGGCTGGCACTTCATGTTCAGGTACCAAAATCATTATAAGGAGAGAAAGAGTGCAATCTGCACATTCTTAATTTTCATAAAACCATTTTTTATATGTTTTTATAGTCTGTCAGTGAATTCATTGACCTGTGAATGTCGCTCTGAATTCAAAGCGGCATCTCCACTCATGTCTGTGTTTTCACATAAAGTATTGGAAAGGGACAAATCGCGTTACCCTAAAGAGCAAATCTGTACTCACCCTCTGCTGAAGAGCCATCCTTGGACACAGATCATCCAGGTAATGGTGCATACTGTAGTTGGCAGCAACACATGACAGTCCTGACCACAGCGGGGGTTAAAAGGCAATACGTTCCCAAAAGCTAGCGATGGAAAACAACCATGTGCTCTGTTTCCTTTTTGTTGCAACAGTGAATCAAGTCCTCAAATATGTCCGAGTGGAAACGGTTGGATAGTCCTGGGGATACATTGTGAAGAGTGAGCTTGAGGGAGAATGTTCCACAGGATTTTTTGTTTTTATTTTTTTCGTTTTTTGACAAATGATTCCATCATTTAGTTCTCCCTGATTTCTGGTGACCTAGAGAGCACTGCAGTTGAAGAGGGGAGGGTGGAAGAAAGGGAGGAGGAGAAAAAGGCTAGTTAAGTATTAATAAATAAATAAATGAATAAATAAATACATAAATAGATAAATGTTGCCTCAGCAACATCTTGAAGACCATGCTGCATCACTGAAAAGTGGAACATCCAGTCTAGTTTGATCTGGATAGTTTGTGACCCATTTAAAAAGATTTTAGCAAAGAATTCTGTCTCTTGCAGTCAACACTACCCAAGTTTTCCTTCATTTTAAAGAATGAAAATGTCTATGTAATGTCTATTTACATAGAAAATGTCTATGTAATTCAATTGCTTAGATGTAAACCAAGTCACGGTCTGATGTAAAATACTTCATTCGAAATAATTTAACAGAGTCAGAATTGTTTAAAGCCAGAATAGTTTAAGGCCAAAAGATCAGTGTAAACAAAATTGAACAAAATTTGGAAGACATCTCCTTTTGTCACCCCACTTCTATTATAAATAGAGGTTATTCTAAAATGTGTGCCAATTGTTTCTGTTGTACTAGCTCCATAATGGCGCAACAGTGCTTGGACACTGATGATTGCCACTTGCAATGTCATTTGTAGGTGGTCATTTAACTCTCATAGCAGTTTCAGTTTACAGAAATCAGCAAGCTCTACATCAATTTCATATGCAAGCTAAATGAAAGCTGTCTTGATTGTTAGCAATAATTATTTACACATAGTAACCTTTTGCCCACCATTCAAAACTACTTAAGAAAGAAATATGAACATTCGAAAATGAAACTTCGCCACTTAGTTCTGACTGGCCTGTCAAAATGAAATACTCTATCGGTAGTTGGCTGAACAATGAAAGCAATCTACACAATTCTAGCATAATCATGGCATAAATGGTTAATTTTGCCAAAAGGCAACAAGTTTTCATGTATGATAGCAGTGATCATACATCAGAAAGCTATTAAATTAAACGGTTACACTGTGTAATGCCTGAGACAGTGTTTAACAATAGGTTTGAAACGTTAATGGCCAATGCTTTTTTTTAATTCATCAGTAATTCATCAAAGATCAATAAATACAGTGCATATTAAGGCAAAATAGTCCCTAAAGAGAACTTAGACATATTCCTAAATAAAAACTCAGAAGACTTGTGTAGGCGCACTGGTCATTTTAGTAAATAGTAAATAAATTGGTATATATTCGCATTGTACACATTGTGACTCCTGGTTCTTATCACCACCATTGAGAAAATTACATTTCTTTACAATAAATAATTTCACATCAAACCACTCCTAATGATTTTGTTTAGATCCCAATGACTGAACTACACATCAAAAAAAATAAATAAATAAATAAAATAAATAAATAACATTTTCACAAAAAATAATGTTTGGTTAAACACTACATATACAAAATACTAGTCAAATTGAAAAAAAACACCCTGTGTAACAGCAGTAGTTTCTCTTTTTAGCTTTCGCCAAGCTATAAAAGTCACAAAGTGGGCAGAGAGTGACTGCATCCATCACACCATTTGGAGAGAAGTGGCATATGCGCAGGCAGGCCCACAGAGCCTTTGGCAAACGCCAAGGAAGAAATGTGTTAACTGGAAATAAGTGGCAGACAATCGCATCTCGCTTTCATCAATTCATCTCAAAGCTGCCTTTCCTTCTTCCTCTCTCTCTCTTTTTTAAACATTCCACAATGCAGAATGACTGATGAAGAAGAGAGACAGAAACATGCCATTACTTTTCAGGGTTGATGGCTGCCTCTTGTGGGACAGCAGAAGGAGTCATCAAATTTTAAAGTCGCTCCAGTCTCGCTGAACCTTTTTCTCATCGCTGACCTGCGGGCCTGTCGTGTCTGGAAGGGAGAGACAAAGAGGCATGAGGGATGAGCAGGGCTGGGGAAGTGACAGGACACAAGCTGCCAGCCCATCTCTCACTGCCGCACACATGCTGCTCAGTGTGGTGAGGGACAGTGTGCGGCCAGTGGCAGAACACACGACCATTGGGACCTGGACTTGGAACTGTGAGTCACTGACAGAGAACATGCATCCAATATGTCATGTGCGACTTTCATGCAGGTAAACAACAGAAAGCAGACATCTTTAGTGTATCTGTACTATCAAACTAATAGTAGGAGTGTGTGTAAATTTGAGCACAACAACCCGAAAACAATAAATGATTTTTGGTTAACTAACCAAAATTATTCCCAAAATCATCTATACTACCAATAGCAATAAAACTATAAAATAACAATAGTACTAATAAGCGGTGTTCATTGAAATCCAGTACAAAAGTGTAATAATACTGTACTGCAATAATACAGCTTATGAATATAATATGAACATAAATGTCATCAAGACAATCTGTTCTTCTATTCTGGCCAGTCATTGTAATTTTAACACTATAAAGTTTGAGTTTGATCAGTAGAGTTTGGTCGACCTCAAATTCTGTCTTTGAGCAAAGCCACTGACTTATGAGCTGCTGAACACTGTTGTTATAGGCTCCATACCAAAACATCTGCTTGAATTAGGGTGTGCTACATGTAAATGATATGTAAACGAGGTACTGATTTCACGCACTGAAGCTTCAAACACTGAAGCTTCTTTTTAACTTTGATGAATAAGGACCAATATGCTTTTTACAGTACACTGTAAGCGTGTTACTCAGTCACAGGTCAAGGTTACCGATAGCAGTTATTTTGTCAAAATAGTGCAGGGAAATTTTTAATCATATCACATTATTTCTTGTAATTTTAAGATGTTACAATTGCAACATGAACCAATATAATTACAAGCTAATATTTTCTGTGCGATCTTAGAAGGCTTGAAGCTGTTGATTTATTTCTCGCAAATGTATGCATATACATATAAAAATATGCAAGTGGTGTCCAAAATAATGGACACATGAAATTCTCATACTTATTTGCCATTTTATCAGGTACATCTACAATACAGACATACTTTGTAGGTTTACAATTACTGACTGTAGCCTATTTATTGCTGCACAATCTATCAGCCACCCTCTACCCTGTCCATCAGTAGAAAGGTACCACTATAAGACTACCACCGACCAGATATTATGTGGGTGGTGGACCATGGTACCATGCACAGCAGTAATGCTGGCATGGTACCATGCAGTGTGTTGTGCTGGCACAAGTGTGCAGTGTAGTGAGGTTTTTACGCAACTCGATGTCACTGCTGGGTTGAGAACAGCGCCATCAACCAAAACATCCAGAAACTTCCTCTGACGAAGGACCACAAAAATAAAGACAAATTGCGCACGGAAAATATGAGTTACTGTCTTTGGCAGTAACAAGGCATTTGTGTCTAATCAGGTGGGCAAGGTGTATGTCTGAGTACAGGCACAGTACAAAATGTGCTTGATGTGACCTCAATGTGCTCATTATGTGTCTGAAATTAATGTTCAATTCAATAAGACTGCAGCTCATTACACAAACTGTATGTAGCCCCGCCCACTAACTGCTCACTTGTGAGGTGGGGGGGTTTAAAAGGCACAGTGAAATAATGGAGCCATCAATAAGCTGGAGGCAAAAAACAAATAGAAAGCTCAGTGATGAAGAGATAGCGATGTTAACAATTGAAGCTCTTTAAACTTCACATGCTGACAAGTAAAATCATCTTAAATCTTATCAATATATTTCATATTTCTAATTTTGAGATTGTTGTAAGATTATTATGAGCGTCTTTAACTTCTTCATAGATTTTTTTTTTTTGTTTTATTTGTCGTAACTGATTGTCATCAAGTAAAATTATCTCACTATATTGGCAGATCATTTTGCTTGTTTCCAGCACCTGTAACTTCTGCTCAAATGCCAACGGGATTAGAATCTCTGAAACGGGGCTCAAACTGGACTCAGAACATCCAAGGCTATGTTCAAATTAGAAGCCTCATTCCTCAATTACATTTTTTTTTTTTTGCTCAGATCTTTCTAACTTGATGGTTCACATTTGTAGGTAAGTGACTCAAATCTGTCATTAATGTGAACAAACCTGCATCCTGAAAAGACGTGCACATACTAATCAACAACTTCATGTGAATGACCCATTTGCACAAACAAACCAGTACAAACAAACCAGTAGAACGAGCCTTTGCCACGAAGATAATTTGCTCTGAATGGCTCTCAGCTGTTCATTATTAGAGCAAGATGAAGATCAAAAGGGGCAGATTTTTTGCTTAGCAGCATTTACTGGCATTAACTTTAGGCTCGGACCTGCTGCCTCGGATGTTTATATGCCTCAGATCTTATTTGAAAAGATCAGATATGCACCTCCACAGAGCTCTGAAAAAATGCGTTTCATTTGGGGAGTAACAGCCTTCACTCTGATGGTAAATATTTTTTTCAGCAACATTTCAGTTCCAAAATTAACAATAATTTGCACCCAAAACTGGCACAAAAGTATTAGTACATGAAGCCCTATGTGTAAAACTCCAGCAACACTGCTCTTTGTAGTTCTACAATTACAGAATGTAGTCCATCTGTTTCTCTGCATAGTTTGTTAGCTCCCTTTTACCCAGTTCTTACATGGTCACTACAGAGCAGGAATTATTTGGGTGTTGGATCATTCTCAGCATTGCAGTAACACTGATTTTTCATCTACAAGGTGGACCAACAAGGTACTTGTGTCTAATAGAGTGGACCAAGTGTATTAACCTCCAGCAGCACTCCTGTGCCTGATCCATTTATACCAGTGCAACACACACTAACATGTGACCATCACGTTAGTGTCACTGCAGTGCTGACAATGATCCACCGCCTAAATCATATGTTCCATGTGGTGGTCCTAACCATTGGAGAACAGGATGAAAGGGGACTAACAAATTATGCAGAAAAACAGATTACAGTCTCTAATTGTAGAATTATATATACTATAATCAATATGGTAAGTAGACCTGACAAAACAATGAGTGTAGATACAAGGAGGTGTGGTTAATGAAGTGGCCAGTCAGTGTATACTGTACGTACACATGTACTGTTACAGTTTTTCAGAGGCATCAACAAATATTAATATAGAAAAATAGCAACAGATTATGCATTGTTTCCTGAATGACTCAGACAGATGTGGGCTCAAAAAAGTGGCTCAGTGCTCTACAAGCTACAGGCTAGAAATGGTGTGCATCTGTTCTTATCAAAGAACACAAACAGTTTCACTACAGTTTAGCATAATTACAGTGTAGCACTTCACTGTAGTAAAGAAGCTCATTTCCACCAGATGTCAAAATATTGACTTAATATCTCAAAAAAATGACTTAGTATCTCAAAATAATGTTTTAAAAAATGTAATTATTAAATTTTAAAAAAAGCAAGTGATATAGGATAAAGTTTTTTGACGCAAGAAATTTTACAAAACAAGTCACATTATCTCAAGATACTAAGTCAATATTTTGATAAAATTAGTCAGTATTTTCACATATTTAAAATACTGGTTATACTTAATCAATATTTTGACAAAATATGCAATTATTTTGAGACAGTAATGAAAAATTTGATATCCTGCTGCCAGAAACAGAAGGAGAAAAAACATTATGGGTAATTTCTCTCCTCCTCTAATGGTCTTTCATTTTGTAGAAGATCACATAGGTAGACACAAGTTATTACTACTGAATGACCAACAGTTCAATGTTCTAACTTATATACTACACAGATAAACTTACTTGCAAAACTGCAACCAAACATTTTGATTTAAATCTAATTGAATGCCATTATAGTGGTCAAATATTCTATGTAAAGACTTAATTTCACATCATGACCATGTAACACAGCACACAGTTTGAAAGTTACAAGCCAGGCATGCCTAGAGCCACAAAGAGACGGTCCAGTGAACACTGTTCAATGTTGCTCAGTTCATCATCACTTTAATTCACCCGAACTCTATTTACGAGTGTTGCTAGGTCACCAGCATGGAAAGAGAAGAGGATAGAAGTCCTTCCTTCTGCACCAGCAGATCCTGATTAAATGGACTTCATTGATTTAATGATTTCAAGTAGGTGCACTCTCTTATTCCAGGGCAATTTATCCAGCAACTGCAATTACCTGGGTGGAACCACTGATTCAGATTCACTGATTCACCAGTAAAGCTCTTTAAGATATTCTTGAATGTGACCCATTGGGTCAGGTGAATAGCCCTGTACCTAGCATGTGTGAAGGCCATATGGACATTCATTTAACAGCAATGAGTCACACTGAAAGAATAAAATCAAGTGCACCAAGTAACCAACCTCCTTTTCCACAAACATTCAAAAGAAGCCTTTAAAAGCATTAAAGTGAGTCTTCCAAAGGCCATTGGCTTTTCTTGAGTGCTACTAAAACAGCGCAATCTATCTTGCAATCTTATTACCATTCACTTACTTCCCGACATGTCCACAGTCGTCGTTCCTTCATTGGTGGATAGCGAAGGTCGCCTTTTGACCTCTACACAAGTCCTGGAGAGGCGCTTCTGTGTGGGCGACATGACGCCCTCGCCACCTGTCTCTAAGCTGACCATGCCTTTCTCACAGTCCACCACTAGAGCCATGGCAGCGGAGTCTTTGAGGGAAGGGGGTTGCGCCCCTGCGCTCCCTGCTAACCCTGTCCCCTGCTCTTGCCCCTCTGTGACTTTGGAGGCTGAACGTGGAACTTGCCCGGTTGCCTGCCCTCCGTTGGTCTGCGAGCGGACATTAGTCATGGCCATTCCTTTACCAGCCTCGGCCCCTTGTTGGCTGTAGACTTTGTAGCGTATCATGAGGATGATGATGAAGACCAGAACAGCAGCAACAATAATGCCGCCGATGATTATGATCATGGTGCCACCCAGAAAGTGGCTGCGGAGAGACTGGCACTGGCTGTACTCCGTGTCTGTGACAAATGTGACGCAGCCCACTTGCCGCGTGGCTGTCAGTGAGGTCATGCCGTCGTCGTAGACGGCCAGCACGCACAGGTCGTACTCTCGCCCTGACACCAGGTCCCTCACCAGGAAGTCCTGACTTGTGGACGGTATCATCCTTTAACAGAAGTAGAGAACAAAAAATTACATTGTTTTCTCAATATGCAACTCAATTCGTCTGCACAAAGCAGCGGTCCACATGATGCACAACCTTGTCATACCTTTTTATCATATTGATAGTTTTTAAAAGCCTATAATCTATTATTTTAATCTAAAACCAGCTTTAAAATGGTGTGTCTTGAGCACTCGGCAGGCCTTTTTAGACATAATTGCTGAACATGGCATTTTTATGAGCCTACACTACTAATGTTTATAAGCCTGCATTGTTAATGTTTATCAGACACAAAGTAAAAAGTTACAGTGCAAAATAAAGCTTCACTGGGCCAGGGCTAATGCCATGTTGCTTTTATACAACTCTATAAACTATTCATTAAGGCAACTACAACTAGAGGCTAACTTTGCCTTTTCTGGCTGTGCTAGAGTTTGAGCCTCAAGGCTCTCATGGACACCTTATGTAAAGGGGCATGGTAAAGTTTGGGATCCCATCATTTCTTTTATTTTTTATTTATTTTTAATGTTTATGCAAATGTCATTATATATAACAAGATACGTATATTTTTTATATATATATATATATACATATATATATATATGTGTGTGTGTGTGTGTGTGTGTGTGTGTGTGTGTGTGTGTGTGTGTGTAAATCACGACATCACAAAAACATCATTTCAAAACAGGCTGATTTTGCAGCTCAGATTCAGTATATGAACTGTGCAGGCTGGGCAGTGAACAGTTAATTTTGGAACTATCAATGTTTACACTTTCCAAAAAAGTGAGGAAAATTTGATTTTCCATGATATGGGCCCCTAAATACGTTTTCATATGACATACAGATTATAATCGTTTGTGCAACTGTATTATACTTCATAGGCATAGATATTCTATCAGGTCTGTAGTGCACTTTAGAAGAAAGCTGTGTAAAGACCAAGGCAAGACAGCTCATAAAGACTGAATAATAGATGAGCATAACTTTATGCAATAAACAGAACATTGTCCATATCTCTTTGTTGTGAGCCTGCTGGTTACTTTCATTGCTCTATTGCTTTCCGTCTTGGTATCATGTCATCACTCCTTTATTTTCTCATTTATAATTGTGGGAAGATTAGAGAACAGTTTCAAATCTTCGCAGCAGGACAGAATTCATAAGTAGAACAGCCTCTGGCAAAATTCTGAACCTTGTTTGCACTTAGTGGAGAGTTACTGCATATCGTGTAGTGAAAAGGTATCATGCATGATCATTTCAGTCCAGGCAAAGCCGGATTATTATAGGATTCATTAACACAAGCAATGTGAAAATCGATACCTGTAAGCCTTAAAAGGATTTTTAATGAAATATCCAACATACAGTACAGGTGCTAGATAGGGAATTAAAGTGCACAAATGGAGTGCTTGTGTATAGTAGTGTGAGTATGTAGTGTGTGTGTGTGTGTGTATACATACATACACACACACACTACTTATTACTAAAACATTAGTATAAATAGACATAACATTACTAAAATAAGGAGTGATCTCCTTCCAAACTTCTCATTGTGGCACCCCTGTAATAATTGTAGTTATCATCCAACAGTTTGGCTATTCAATACTTTATAATGTTACTACTAAACAACTAAATATAATATAAAGTTATTCAATATTGTGTGTGTCCATCCTTTGATTTATTACAGTTTTCAATCCTTGTGGGGGACTTGCTTTTAGTTAATCAAAGAAATCTGCAGGGATTTTTTTCTACACCTCTAAAATTCAGTCTTAGAAGTTGGTTGCACTTTCTGCCTCTCACAATCAAAGTAATCCCACACATGGAATCTGAGAAATTTTGATGTAAAAAGCTACTTTATTTGAGCAGTAGGTGTTCATTTGCTCAGAAAAATACTGCTATTAATTAAGATAAATATAATAAAATTAATTCAATAGGTAGTGATTTTTTCTTATCTTTCTTATTATTACTATTGCATATTTTAGATTTGTAAAAACAGCTTTTGGTTTTTGCCTTGCTGTCAACTTTATGTACTCTTGGCATTCTCTCAAGTCTTTAAGATGATGAAGGATATACATTCCTTCAAATGTATCTTACGTAACTAGCAAGGAGGCCATTCATTCATTTACTAAATACAAAAAGTACTGAACACATGAAAGGAACACATTCACTGAGTACAGAAACTGAGACTGACTCCATCATTTGAAGCAAAACCAAAGGCCACACCTTTATATTCTGCATGGCAGCTTGTATGCGAGGCGACCTCTGTGTGTGAGTGCTGGGTACCTGTGTGTGTTTTGTCTGAGACAGGGTACGAGTATCTCGTTAGTTTCAGCACACTTGTTAACATTTTCTTTTCTTTCTAAGATAATGATTTATGAAGACAAACACATTATACTTGACACACTTATAACATTACTAATTCAAATGATTTTTTTCCTTCTTTTTTTGCCATGCACCTTGCTGCAGGCCAAGTGAGACAGAGCCAGGCTGCTGTTCCAGTGACTGGGGAAAGATCTGCAGTGAATATAAATAAATTATTTTACTGAAGGTAAAACAGTTCTCTTCTTATTGTCTTTAAAACAGGACCCCCGCTTGATTGTTAACCAAAATGGTAAAAGACTGTCCCTTATTCAGCAAAGCTGCTTATCAATGTATGTGATCAAAAGTATGCTGTATGATCTGTATGATCAGACTCTTGTCTGGTAGAAGTGTGTGTATACATTTGAGTGTAAACATTTAACAATCAGAAAAATATGCCTGATTTGCAGTTAACTAACTAAAACGGTTGTTAATGTCTATAAGGTCAATAATAAGAGCAAAAATAGACAATAACAGTAATACTAATCATTTTTGCACATAGCAATCCAATACTAAAATGCGTTTACTTATTTTACATACACATTGGTATAAACAAACTTACGGAGCCCCACTGGTGACATCCTGTATAAACAAGAATAATGCGTGGCCACGACAGCATTCAAACTACAGTCACTGAATGCTGTAGTTTTATTGGCTCTCTACTGAAATATCTGCATGAACTAGGGCATGCTTCATGTAAATGACATGGAAATCAGGTAGACTGGTAGGCTGGCACTTCATTGCACACACTGAAGCTCATTCATCATTTGTGCTCAAATCTCCACTTGTTTTTATGCCATTTGAAGGTTTCATGAATCAGACACAGAGTAGTGTATACGTCATAAAAGGCAGTCAAATCTGACCCCCTTTTTTTTTACCTAACTTTGATATTTAGCATAACAGTGTAGAATGAATAATTGGATGAAAATAAGTTTGCAGTCTTTTGCTAGGATCTGCACTCTCATTGGATGAGAGCTGGGCAGAATTGCTTCAGCTGGATGTCAAATGACTCCCTGTGTCCTATGACGTGCATTAAATAAGAGATTTATTTTTATTATGACTGCCACTACATTAAAGCTTCCACACCCAACTAATGCACCATGAAAATTGACAATATGATATATTAACATTAATGTGCATCATGATTCGTCATTTCTAGAACACTAAGCAACTTCATGCATCAGAAAAAAGACCAATTACAGACAGTCAACATCAGTAACAATCAGTGCATAATAAGTACATAAACTGCATAATAACCAGGGGCATATTGTAACTATTACAACTAGGCCTTCAGGGCAATAAATGTCAAAACTAAAAAAAAAACAAACAAAAAAAAAAACAAATCCAGCTAATAATCTGCTAGCACCAATATGGGATTTCTAATAGTATGTCAGTGCTCAGCTCACACACTTTAAGGAACTACAAATATATTAAACACAGGCATTTAAAGCTTGAAGCTATAGATTTTTTATTTATTTAACAGAGCTGCCACTGTTTTTAACAACTGATGGAAACTTGATTAAACTATGGATCATATTAGCATTCAATGACTTTTCCATTGCTTCCTAGAGTGATGTTTCGCAGAAATCTTTAAGCCTTCTCCATCAGGAAGTACGAACCAGTTCATCTTCCCTAATTGGTAGCTATGGTAAATATGATAAATAAAAGTGAAATATTCTTTCAGCATACACAAACTGACTGTGAACGGCCATTGCGCAAACCTAAATGCTGACAACATGCGCTGCTTTCTGCTTCACAGAATTGAAAATCTTAATCTTTAATCTGAAAAGCATAATAAAATGACAGATTTAAAATCAGGTGCCCTAAATTGAGTGTTTAAGTATATCTCGGGCTCAAAGCAGAGGCAGATCCCTCCTGAGACCCATTTAATTGCATCTATCACATATCTGTTTACGTAGGATTTCTGTAGCTTAAAAGGGAGCATGTTAAAAACAGCCATATCACATCCACAATCTTGAAGGGGGTTGCTGATGTATTACATTACATATCTTTATATATAGGATACATATCTGTATTATTAAATAAAGAGAAATAACTGCTACATTTGGTAATCACCATTAATGAAATCAGTCAGAAAAAAATCTGAAAATACATACCTTATTAAATGTGATGTGAGAAGCACTAATTGCATAATGTCATTAGTGACAAGGATAATAAAAGATTTAGTTCTGTCTTAATAGAAATGGAATGACACGGACAGGCTTTCTTTAGAAGTGTATCTTCAATGCTGAGCATTTGATTGAATAAGCCTGCAAGATCACAAGACAGCGAACTATTGAACTACACAGAAAACAATACCCTTCCTTGATTCCACAGAGGTCACTGAAGTGTCACTACGGAAGACACGTTTTCCTTTTCCATTATTAAGGATCTGGCGCGGTCAAAGTCGATGAGAAATCTGTGCATCTTACGTGCTGATCCGATTACAGAGCGGCAGGGGAGAGGGCTGAACCCCTTCGTCTACTGACTTTAAAGTCTGCTTTGAAGTATTCTCTTCCTCCTCTCCTGAAACCTGTCTGTCAGACTTCAAACTACGAAGTATGTCTGAGGGTTTTTTTGTGTATGTTCGTTTTATTTTTTATTTGTTTATTTTGTTGTTTTGTTTTTGCCTCACAGGAAACAGTACATAATGGTCTTGT